AGATGAGACAGAAATTGGCTTCAAGATTAAATAATGTTTCTCATCAGGTTTAAAATACGTTGACGGACGAATTGATTTAGTTTTGATGCTATTTCGACCAAAAACTGGAGGATTTGGATAAATTGACAAAAGGTGTTTAAATACATAATCTCTTGTTAATTCAGGTAATATAATAGTCGTATCTGGATTAGTAGAAGCAGGATCGTGACCGTGAAATCTGCTAATACCAAGAACAGTTGTTGATCCAGAATGAGTGAACAGTACCATACATGGTCGTTTGTAATATCGCTTGTTTTTTGGTTTTGTTGGTGATTCGGAAGATTTAGCAGAACTTCTGGTTGATGAAGATGCACATGATGCAAATGAAGATATTTCTGGTTCACCACCTTTGAATATCCCAAATGCTTCAGGTATACTGAGCCGAAGCATGTATATACGTCCAAGTTCTGGACGGATTTCTTTCATTTCTACAAATATTAGGAACAAAGTTGATCAAAAATTTCAAAAATGATATTCTCTCTAACTTACCATGTGTTGGTTTATCGGCTTGAGAATTTATAACTAAAGGAAAAACTTGTTAGACAAAAACTTGATTAATTACTGATATACCTGATGATTCAAGCTTTTCCACAAATTCACCACCAACTCCTATTTCACTAATTGTATGAGCTGTAGTGGTGAATAATGATTTTAAATGATATTCATCCAGATTCAAGTGATCACTTGGTAATGGAGGATCTATTGGGCGTATCATATCTGAAAGTTATTCATCAGGTCAAAGCTGATTTGAACCAAATATCTTACTAGTCCCTAATAGCACGACATTAGTACCAAGTGTCTGTTCGATTAATCGTTGAATCGTCGATGATTGTAATGACGTATCCAAAACTAATCGTTTTGAAGATAAATTAAGATTGACATTATCTATCTCTGTAATATAACATTTCAGCGATTATCTTTTTACTCAAGAAATACTAGCTATTTTACCTTTACGATTAGCTAATGCTCTTTGCG